CGGCATACTTGACAAAAGATTTTGCCAACGAGAGCCATTACAAAAGTCACTATTTCCACTGGAGAAAGAAAATTGTTGTATTTGATAAAAACTTTTTAGTAATAACTCAACCTCTTCAAAAAGAATATCTGTTTCAGTTAAATGAAAATATCTCAGACTAGGACCAAATGGAATCGATGGATGTCGAAGAACAAGACTACTAGATGACGTAGATTCACATGAAACTACTAATCGTTTGATTTTTGGAAATGAATAGATTAAATTGACTAAATCATGTTTATCATGCACATCAACTGATACATATTCCAAAGTTGATGTCATATCATGATGAATGCGTCCAAGCAGATCACCGAAGTCTAATAATGAACATATTTTTAATGATTTATGTGCGCATATTGTATTATAAATATAATGTTCTTCCTCTTCTAAAGGGTTACCTGGTTCAGCCCGTTTAACTTTGACATAATATAAATATTGTAAATATTTTAATTTCGATGCAATTACTTTCAAATCAGCCAATGACACGTTATTAATGATTAGCGATCGTAAATTAATAAAAGATTCTATACAACAATTTTTTATAAATAATCCAATTTGACCAAATGTACGCGTATTCGATAATTTGAGATAAAATATTTGTTGACGTCGTTGTTTATGGTTCAGTATTTTATGACAATATTGATCAAACAAAGTTTTTGACATTTTATATTTTAAATCAATAGATAAATGAACATCATTTAATATTGAATTGAAACGTTTGTTCAAGTTATAAAAAGTATCAAACAATATATGTGGCTTTAAATATTCAAATATTTCCAAGATTAGTTCATCAGACAGATGTTCTATACGCGTTACCATTGCTGAACAGTTAAATAATCATTGAACTATTACTTTTCTGATTCAGTGTCTTTCGATTCTATTGACGAACATTTCGATTAAACAGAGAAGAGAAAAGTGTTTTTCTACTTTCTTCTAAAAATCCAATTAAACATTTTATTCTTCTAATTAAATGTTGTGCCTAGTCAAAACTGTTCACCAAAGAAAAATAAAATTAAGAATACTTTATCTTTTTTTTCTTCTCACATTGAACTGTTGTAGGCAATATAGCTCTATGTTAATGTGTTTCAGTTAATATGTTTCAGCTTCGATCGTAGAGCTTCAATCTTGTATAGGATAACTAGAGAAATCCTGAAGATTTCTACAAGAACTTTATAAAATTTCTATATTTGGAGATGATAAGATTCGTATAAGAACTTATCAGCATCTTATAAACTTCCTATTGTACACCGTAAGATCGGCTGATCTACTACAGTGGGACTGTGAGCAAATGCGTCAAGCTAAAAAACCACAGAAACCCCGTGGAATCGCGTTTTTGTTGCAAAAACGGTACAAAAAATGGGTCTTTCGACGTTCTGACTAGAGCAAAAGTTGTCCAGACCTGGAAAACACTTTCGGCTCTACGGAGCGCCAGACAACATGTTATTTCTGGACTTGAATATTTCAAGTTCAGTTTTTTCATTCTTTAGCGTTAAAATCTAAAAAGTCCGAATTTCGTTATGTGATTCTACTTTCAGAATTATCCATTATTTTAG